CTGTTGGAAACAAAAAAAAACAACACTTTACATTAGTAAAACAAATCAGTTACAGATTGAGAAACAGTAAAAATGTGACTCCCTCCATGTGAGGCCCAGAAATGCTTTGAGTATCACCAGAAGCAGCTTTGAAGCTGCTTTTCCACGTCAGTAACTTGTACTGATTTTAAACATCACAATGGAAAAACAAACTGACATAGAACAACAGCGACTGCTGCTATTAATAACATCCAAGAGCACTTAACAATAACAGCACAAGACTAAAAGGACACACTGAGATACTGTACATATCTTTCTAAGTCACACCTCTTCGGTCAGCTCTGAGTTTAACGCAGCGGTGGGGGAAAAAAAGGAGGAAAAAAAGTGCAGGCAGCTAAAACCACAGGCAGATAGGTATCAGACCCCCTACGGTACTACAAGCAGAAAATACACGGCTAATCCTTCACATGACAGCGCTATACAGACACTGTGAAACGTTATCTTCACTCTCACCTCAAGAGGCTGTGGTCTTGCCACTGAGTGGGGGGCTGCTCAGCGTTAAAGCTGTCAGAATGAGCTCTGAAATCTCTGAGCACTCTTGGGCTTTTTGGACCTTGATCTGACGTCAGCTATTCAGCAGGATTAGGCTCAATAATCATCATAATAATAATTTTATTAACAGAACGATATCACACCGTGAGTGTGAGTGTGTGTATGTGTAAGCTGTTGACAATCTGCTGTCTTTTACTGTTGATCTAACCAAGACAGCGACACAGGTACATCTTTCCAAAAATGTTCCTGTGTTTTACATGTCTTTACTTAACAAGACTTACTACACAGGCTGAATGTTTTTTCCCACCGGGCCTCCCTGAACAATAGAGCATGATAGAGTGTGCTTCGGGGCAGGAATGGGTGGCATTATTTCAACCCAAGTGGGGCTATCTTTATAACATGTCCTCTGATGAGGCAGGAACAGCTGCCTGTGGCATTCCAGATCCAGAGCTGCCTTTTTAGGGCAGAAACTGCACTCTGTTACCTTTCACTTGATTTCCAGAGCCACCAAAGTTCACCTTCCAACAGCATTTTCCAGACTCAAAATCAAGGCCAGATCTTTATCAGGTTCGTAGGAAGAGGAGGAGGAGGTGGCCCTGAGTAACACAGCTATTATGATAAATAAAAAAAAGTTGTTCACTTGTGTTCTGATTTTTTAATTCAGCAGAGCCTCAGCTTTGTTAGTTGAGGCTCTGTGGAAACTGTTAAAGGCCATATAACAGAGGAGATATTTCCTCTTAGTTGTATTGAATTTGAACTCAGCTGCACTGTGAGTAAGATAATAGACCACGCTGAGCTACGGACACACGTCTGAACAGAGAGAAATGTACAATATCAGAGGTAACAAAGTTCTATCTTAAAGATTCAATTCACTTTCTACAACAATGAGAACGAGCCCCTTCATTTTCCCTCAGCCATAAAGCCAAGCACAATCATGTGTGAGCCATTGCTGGCATTATGTAAATCACGCTGGTGCAACATAAAATCCTGTTTTCATTTTCTTTTGCAAAGCTGTGGAATCATTAGAGGATATACAATTTGAAGGAGTTTACGGATCACAATGCACCCCCTGCCCCCCACACATGCTTTCTCAGTTACTGTATTTACATTGCAGGCTTCCTCCCTGAAACAATGACTCCAGGAATTATGTAGTTTTGAGGCGGCACATTACCGTACAATTTAGTGTTAGACAATTGCAGGCAGGGGTGAAAGGGTCACCTTCTAGAAGACAGCAATTTTTGAAAGAAAAAAAAAATCAGCTGGAAAAACTATTAGGAAGGAGAAGCCATAAATTTTCAAGTGTTTTTTTTTTTTTTTTGAAATACTCTCCAAAGGAAGATTGAGGTCATTTGGGTGTTGCAGTGGAGGTAGTTTTTTTTTCTGTTTACCGTGTTCAGTATTTCATGCTTTAACTACTGATTTCCTTTCCATTGCGACCTCAAGCTCCTTGTAGGAAATGACCCCGCCATAGTTGTTTCTTTCCATTAGTGCCTATTTGCAAATACATTTCTGTTAACAATAAGAATAGAGGGCCGAGTGCTACCGTTTGAGGCCTGCAGCTGAATTAATAGACGTCTTAAACACACATGTAGTGTTTTGTTTTAAAGGTGAAGCGTACTTTAAAACAAATTTAATATTTCAAGCTTCCCCCGAGAAGGGACATGCTATGGTTCGATGGTTTACGGAGGCTGTCTAAACTATTATTTATGCTGCGGGTTTTGTCCTCAGCAGCTTTTTTGCCATTGCTTTCAATGGAGATTGCTATGGTAACAGTAAGCTGTTTACCTCAAGTCGTTTGTGTGCATGATAGCGTACAATGAGATAAAATCTGTGGGGACCTACATGAAAGAACAACTTTTTCCTCTGGGACCGACTCCCCCACCTCCCCGAGAGTCCAGTAAGCATTCTGCCTTATTAATGAATATCAGACAGAAAAACAACACTGTCACACGCGCCGGACATTATTTACACTTCTGTTTTAGCCTGGCTTGCTAATTGTCAAGGAGGAGACACCTCAGTAAGCACTGCGAGTAGGAAAAAACAGGCAGGTTTGAACGTGAATACAACAGCTGAAACTAATTTTTCCGACTGCTTATGTTAACTGTGACACTATTTTTACTGGAAACTGTGCAGGGCCACAGTGGAGCGCGGCATGCTGTCTGTATAAGGCCAAAAACCTGAGGAAAAAGTCAAGAAAGTATTTTGAATACATTTGGACCAGGTCAGGTTCTTTTTCATCTTCAGTCAAAAATAAGTGCATCATCTCGTTCTTCGGGGCCCTGTTTCTTGTCAGCTCTTGGATGACACAGCTTGTGTTCGAGCACTGCCGCACTGACAAACACACTCTTCCATAGCTCCAAACCCCACAGGTCTTGTTGGTTTTTTGATGCAGACTCTCTGTTTGTGTGCCAGAATGATATCATGCCCAATCAAGTGGTGTTTCAAATCCTAATAACGCTGTTGGAAGTGCATTATTTGTGTGAACGTGCGCAGACTATAATCAAGGCAGCTCCGGGTAAGGGTTGTGGGAGTTAACAACAGTTGGAGGACTGCGGTTTTACCTCTCTCTGACATACAAGACGAGGCGTCTTGCGTCCAAGACGCATTTGTAATCATGGTATGGAAATTGCAGAATTACATATACAACATACAGAGAATTAAATAACCTGGCTTTATTGTTCATTCTAAATGCAGTGCCTTGCCATAAACACATCGACTCCCTGCAGCGCTGTCAGTTTGTGCGGAGCGAGCCAGCACGCAGGAGGGTCTGTATATAAGGGAGGTAGATATTACTTGTTTAAACTGAAGCTTATCTCTTCACCTAATCAAACACAGGTACGGGGCTCGTTGTAGATTCCTGCTGAGTTTCAACATGACTGACACGGGGACAAACCCCCCGCAATATCAGGACTTAATTAATACAAACAGGGTCTGGGAGACGTCTGCTCAGCTCAGGATTATTTTACAATATGCAGAGCTAGAGTTTCTCCAGCTCTTTAAAAAAGCGTAGTTATAACTTTATGAACCTTTGGCAGATTAATCGACAAGGCTGCAGCTCCCTGTGTGGAGCTCAGTGAACCTTTTGTGTCTGTAGCTCTCCGGGGAGATGTACGTGCGAGAGAGTAAGTGTGCGTGCGTGTTTCAGGAAAATCATTGAGCCACGCAGGCAAACATGCACAGACACACTTGAAATTACCATGTTTTTATTTTTGTAAATTTAGGTCTTGCAGGAAGAGAATGTTTTCCTCTTCTCTCTCTAGCTCTGTCTCTCTCCCCTGCATGGTAGAGAGGTTGCGGCAGACGCAAGGAAGTCAAGCGGAAAGCCACTGATGGACAACTACGCCACGACACCCAGACCCCAGCATCTGGCCCCTCTCTCATTTTTATTACACAAGAATAACAATAAGCAGGTCGCCGACCCCGCTGTGAGATTTTGCCACAGTTTCCTAACAGTCGGTGCAGCCTATGCTGAGAAATTTCCATTTTTCCGCATGCATATTTAATTGAGTTTTGTCCCAGTGGTGCGGAAATGATTTGTTTTTTGCTCTCTGTTCACTTGACTCCTCTTCGGAGTCGCTAACCCTGATTAAGACGTTCCCGTTAATTTCCCAGCGCACACCTTTTTTTTGTGCATTAATGGTTCTGATCGTCTAATTAAAACTTCTCAGCTCGGCTGCTGATCACCGCTCGTTGTGCCTCTGACCTGAAGTTTTAATTGCCGCATCAGAAGCGATAATAATAATTTTGAGGTTCTGATGATTAAAAACAATGCCATTGCCAACTAGTTGATAGATGTGGGTTTGGGGGTGGGCACATCTGAGGAGAAGTTTATGTAGAGAAGGGATTTAGAAAAAAGGGGGCTGTAAAAAGTACACGACCGAGGAGCAAGAGGGGTGGGGGGGGGAGACTGCTGTGGAAAAGGGGTGGTTGAGCATATGGAAATCTCCCAGCCCTCCTGTCCCTCTGAGTCTTCCTGACAAGACAGTTTTGGCTGGGGCTGGGACTTAGCTTTCCCCACCTCAAATCTAAATCTGCCACTGACTGATCCACTTTAGAGCTCTACTCACTTGGCAGGTTTGCCAGGTTGGGGACAAGAAGGAAAAAGAGAGAGAGCGATAAAGGCATATAAAAGATGACGACAGTCCAATACCCTGTGCTTATTTTCATAAAAAGATAATAACACAGTAGGTGCAGCACAAAAGGCACATTGTTCGTTTAGTGACTGAATGGAAAAAAGGAATCTACAGTGTCTGTTGTCTCAGTCATAAAACGCGATACTGATGAGATATATACGATATGTGGAATACTGTGAAAACAGGAGAAGTGGGTTGCTTGTGATCTTCTTTTAAACAGTACTTTCACACTGTATTTTACAGATCACATAAACTGTGGTGATGATAGGAAATGATTCAGGCATGAAAAAGAGAGAATGTTCAGCCGGGAAACTGCCACCAGCACCCATCTGTCAC